AATTAGTAATATAAAATTGTTGATAAAATAATAATTTAAATTATTAATAATAAGTTAATTTGGTGCAACATTTTGAAAAACGAAGAAAAAACCAGGCTGCTTTGTTAAAAATAATGAAGAAAAAAGTTGCTTTAACTTTTAGTAATAGAAGTAACATATAGTTATAAAATTTACTTTCTTTTTTCAGAAATATCAACTTTTAAGTTAAAAAGGTTTAAGGGGTTATCGCTTACTGTTTAAGAATTTTGAATTAGCACTTTGAGGTGTCTGAAACCATGGATAGAGAAAATCACACCAACTACTGTTTTCTTAGCGTACGCTTTAGTTTATTAAAATTAATTTGGTGCATACAAGACAATAAACATTTATTAAATATAAATATATATTTCTGTTAGAATAACTTGATTTTTCAATCATTCCATAATATGCAATCATTAGACTATTGTGGCCTCCATTATTAACAGATGACAATTCTTATTAATCAAGTAAAAACAAGGTTTTATTTTTTCTAACATATTTTAGAAAATACATTTAAAATAAGACCATTGTCTTTAAATTACTTCAAGATAATAAATGCTATTTAAAGCTATTTTGATGTTGTTATAATTTGAATCCAGATTTTATGATGTTCTTAAAAACTGCTTTCGGGTGTCAAATAAAATAGACTGTTATTTACAAATCATAAAGTTTAAGACTAAATTATATAATTTAAAAAAATATAAAAAAATGTCAATTCATCATTCACATATTTTTCCATAGTGTATGACAAATATAAACACATATTATAACAAATATTGTCTGCATAATTAATGTCTTTAGAGTAATTACAATTTGCTAAATTGATTTTAAAAAATTAAGAATACTAATAGCCCATAAACCAAATGTTGAACTACATTACAGGTTGTTTATCAAACATTAAACAATTCCATGTCAACTCTGTAAAGGAGTTTAACCAAGAAAACAAAATTCAGGCCTTCATATTTCATGCCATGTGTTTTTTATGGTGTACAAGGTAATTTTAGTCAACTTCTGAGACCAAATCATAAACGATTGGCCTTATAGATATGTAACTCTAAGAGCTATTTGCAGTTTATAACTGAGCTTTGTAGGAGTTAAAATTTACAAGCCACTGCTAACTCCAATCTGTTACAGAAGTAAGATCAGATTCAAGACTGCTTGCTCTAAGCGATTAAAAAGAGAAGACAGGAGTGTAATGTTGAGTCATCAGCAAAAAGAGCTACTTTAGATGTAAGGTTATCAGAAAGATCATCAATGTAGATAAGAAACAAAACAGGACCAAGGATAGAACCTTAAGGTACCCCAGGAGTTACTGGAAATGTAGAAAAGTGTTGGCCTTGGAGGATGACTTTATTAAAGCGGTTACAAAGGAACCATTTGAGAATCTCAAAAACTTTCCCAGATACACCATATGAAACAAACTTATGAAGAAGACCAGCAGGCAGGAAAACAAGACTTGATCAAGCTATATGCTCTATATACATACTAAAATTACATGTAGTACATATATGGTTTAAAATCACATGTACTACATATAAGGCTACATCAATCACTAACTTAATTGATGTAGCCACATATAAATATATACACATACATATATATATATATATATATATATATATATATATATATATATATATATATATATATATATATATATATATATATATATATATATATATATATATATATATATATATATATATATATATATGTATATATATATATATATATATATATATATATATATATATATATATATATATATATATATATATATATATATACATACATATATACAGGCTTGGTAAGGAACGCGTGCAATTTCACGGCTTTATATGACCACGCAAATATTTTGTTTTGACGATTTGACCACAGTTTTAACATTTTAATAAAGCGCTGAAAACTTTACTTAGTTATAAAGAAACTAAAAAAACAAACTTGTTTTGAAAAAAGAAAAAAAATCTTCTTAAAAAAATAACGAAAAATAAAATAAAAATAGCTTAGTAATAAATAAGAAAAACAAAATTAAAAAAAATAAAAACAAAACTTAACTAATAAATAATAAACAATAAGATAATTACGTTTGAAATAAATAGCTTTAAATCTTTACTAATGTTTTTCTAAAGTAAAACTAGTAGTGTCCCGCCTGCTTTGTTACCGCACCATTTAAAATTATATTAGTAAAAAAATAATATTAATAAATAGTACTAATCGACAAAAAAATATAAATAAGCACTTTTATTTTTATAAAAAATTTTATCGCGCTTTAGTGGTATCTTTTAAATAAATGATTAAGCTTTAGGAGGAAACTTTTTTTAATGACGCTTTGCTTTTTTTTTTTTTGGAGGGGAAGGGGAGGAGACAGGTTTCACAAAAATGACAACTGACTTATGAACAAAAAGAACATGTTTTTTCTTTATTATTTGGACATAGCAATTTAAAAAAGTTTTTTCTTTATTATTTGGACATAGCCCTTTTAAACAAAGTAACAACTTCCAATGGTTTTTTAATAAATACGCGCATTTAAAAGATGACAACAACAAAAAAACTTCACAATTCTTTGTAGTAATGTAAACAAAAGAAAAATAATTAAATCTTTTCTTTTGTCAGAAATCCAATATCAGAAAGCAAATGAGGAAAAGTGAAAAAGAAAACAAACAAAAAAAAATGAGCATAACTATTCCTTTAATTGATAATTTGATTTAATTTGTTAATAATTTAATTTTTAAATTAAACAAAAGACTAAATTAAATAAAAGACTAAAGAAAAAAATCATAAAAATTATAAAAATAAAAATATATTTATATATTTTTTTTAACTTGCATTCTTGCAAAATAAATTTGTTATCTTTCAAGTATATTAACTTTAATCGATAATTTTTTAATTTAAAGATGAAAGAAAAATATTTATTATTTTTACATTAATATTTTAATGTAAAAAATTCATTAGCAGCGAATTGTTACTACCATAATTGTTAACGCTAATCCTAATTGGGACTAGGAAACTATGACTACTTTCCACACTGGACTTATATACACAGCCTTTACGGTTTTAATTTTTTTGGCTTGACACTTTTTGTATTTTCTTCATATTTTATATTTATATTATAATCTTTACTTATCTAGATTGCATGTTGCTTTTAATATCATTATAGTGCACCACCCATGCAATTTTTATCTCTATTTGAGTATTAGTTTAATTATCACTATTAAATACAACTATGACTAAAAAACATAAATACGGTTGCATATATAATTGCTGTTTCCGCGGGAGAGTGCTTTTATTTCTGGTACATATCTGAGCTAGCGTTTAGAACCAGAAGATAATATAAATCCTATGTATGGATGCTACATCCATCAAAGGTCATTTGTAGTGTGGCTGGGTTAGCTAGATGTGTTTCGGGATTAGAAGTTTTCACGCTGATTTCTAGTAATATAACTATAACAAACCGATACTATCACATAGATAATTGCTGTTTCCGCAGGAGAGTGCTTTTGTTTGTGGTACATATCTGAGCTAACTTGTCCTCAGCTAATTGTCCTCAGACATTAAATACTTTTTTTGACAACCACTGGTATATGTTTGTATCTATAAATAAGTATGTATATAAGTATCATATTATATTTTTGTTGAAAATATTATGCGATAATAATTAGTGGTAGACTAGAGATTTATGACTGCATTGTTACTTTGGCATTCTTTACATATATGCGTGTATGCGTGTGTGTCTATATATAGGTAAAAGTGTTGGTTTTTGGGTAGTCATTTTTAATATCTATATTTGTTTTTTTACCACCTACATAATTTTTGACATTTTACGTTGCAATGGTTTCTTTTACTGTTTTCTTCGCTATCACTATGTTTTATTTAAAACCTGTTTTTTAATTGGTTAGCAACATTCGCTCTAGGTATCTATGGTGGCGTTTAACCTTATATGATTTTGTTTTTATTATTTCATATAAATTTCTAGGCTCTATCAGCTTGAGTTTATTTATCCTAAAAGTATCAATTTCAGCCACTTGTAAATTTTTTTTTTATTTTTATCTAACAACCATTATCACATCAGTAGTGTAGTTAAGTATTTTGTGGTTATATTGGTTTTCTATTAGTATTATTTTTTTTATAATTTTATATTATCATTTACATTTTAGTTTATTGTTTTTTGTTATTTCTGCTTAAAAACTTTATATTTTATTTTATATATTTATCTTATTATCTTGTATATAATTTATTTTATTTTAAATTTGTTATATTATTAGCTATTGTATTCACTACTCTCACTACCCATATTATTTCTTCAAAAATATTAGTGCTTTACAAATTTGGGTGAGGTAAGGGTTTTGGCTATTTTGTAGTGAAGTCCTTTTTTACTGCAGTATGGAGTAGGCATAAATCGCAGGGTAAAGCATAAACATTTAGATAAAATATTGAAGTGACCTGGCAACTTTCTGTCGCTACTGTACATATATATATATACATATATATATATATATATATATAAATATATATATATATATATAATATATATATATATATATATATATATATATATATATACATATATATATATACATATATATATACATATATATACATATATATATAAATATATATATATATATACATATATATATAATATATATATATATATATATATATATACATATATATATATATATATATATATATATATATATATATATATATATATATATATATATATATATATATATATATATATATTTATATATATATATATATATTACCAACATAAAGTTTCCAGGCCACTTCAATATTTTATCTAAATGTGCCAATTATAGCTAATATTTTTATTCTTAAGATGGGGCTGATGTTGAAATAACTTTTGGTGCAAATGACTGGTATATCCAGCAGGACAATGTGCCTTGCCATAAGGCAAAGACTGTGATAGACTAATTTCAGGGGAATAAAGTTGATGTAATGAACTGGCCTCCTCAGTCTCTTGATATGAATCCTATAGAACATTTGTGGGAAATTTTATTTCAGAAAATTAAATGAAAGAAGCCAAAGAATGCTACAGAACTGATTATATTTCTAATATAATCAGCTCTGTAGCATTCTTTGGCTTGAAACTGAATGGAATAATATTTCTGTTGAGTATTAAGTGGGTCTTGTTCAGTCAATACCAAAGCGCATTGCTGAGGCGTTGAAAGCCAGGAGTGAATATTCCAAATACTGATGAAATTATTTAAAATACTCATGAAATTATTTTATTGTCTCTAACTACAATGTTTTTGATAATAATAATTGTAAATTATATTCAACATAATGTTGTACATCTTATTTTTGCTGCCTTACGCTGTAAATACACAGTGGCCTGGAAACTTTCTGTCGGTACTGTATATATATATATACATATATATACATAGGCGAAAAGGCTACTTACTAGTGGTTATAACCCTCTCTCAACTCTATAACTCCGAAACACGAACCTTGACGAACAGCGCTGCTGCAGGGAGAAACGAGTTGAGCGCAGTATGCAATATATATATATTAACTGCTTGGGCTATTAAATAGTATACTGAGTACTGTCTAAGCTTTAAGTCAAGTTCTTTAAGAAATTTAAAAAAGAATAAAGTACCAAAAACTATAAAACACAAAAAACCATCGCCATCACCAAGTTCACTAAACCTATCATTTAATAATATTCATGGTCTTCGAAGTAACTTTTAATCTAAGTCTTATCTCTTGTGATAAGACTCAACCAGAGTGTCTTGCTCTCTGAGACTACTTTGAGTTCAGCTGACTCATCTTATGAATTTAGTGTTGATGGTTATATTCCCTTAATTTGTAAAGACTCCAATAGTCACAAGCTTGGCTTGGGCATTTACATTTGTAAGAATTCAACCAATTGGGAAACTAGGTTTGAATCTACAGAATATTCTTTCATGTGCTTTTGTTTAGCACCACTTCACCATATCGCCTTTCTCTTTGTTCTATACCGCTCTCCTTCATCTCAAGACTGCACTCTTCTTGATGTTATTTCTAATCAAATTGACTAAGCCTTCTCTATTTATATATCAGCCAATATTGTTGTTGGTGGTGACTATAATGCTCATAACACTGAATGGCTTGGCTCTAGTGTCAGTGACTCTGAAGGCATTAAAGCCGACAACTTTAGCCTTTCTCATTTCCTAACTAAAATAACCAACTTTCCAACTTGCTTTCCAGACAACCCCAATCATTTACTTTTTCTACTCGACTTGTTTCTGATCCTAGTCAGTGCTCAGTTTCTCCACATTCACTCTTCAGTGCTTCTGATCACAGTTTGATCTCTCTAAAACAGTCATACTTCTTCATCATCAGAATCCCCCTATCATCGCACCTCTTACAACTACCTTAGAGGTAATTGTGACTCTTTCCTTGATTTTCTTTTTGATGGCCCTTGCATAGAAATCTTTCGTCTTCCTGCTGACAAATGTGCTTCTTACATAGCTTTGTGGATTCAGGCTGGTATGGAATCTTTTATTCCCTCACGATGATTTTAGGTCAAGCCTCACTCTTTTCCATGGTTTTCTTAACATTGTGCTACAGCAATTTCCAATCGAAACTGTTACTTCTGTATATATTAGCAAAACAATTTTCCAGAAAACAGATGCCTGTTTATCACTCCTAGAAACCATTGTAAAAAGGTTTTGTCCCAATTCTCAGGTCACGAAACCTCATACTTCATCTCAAAAATAAGGCTCTCATGACTTCTGGAGAATCTTTAATAGTATCTACAACATGGGAAAATCTATTACCCCACCTCTCTTGTATGGTTCAGACTTTGTCACCTCACCTAAAGACAAAGCCGGATTGTTTGTTAAGGACTTTTCATCAATATAATCTCTTGATTTTACTAGTTGTGTTCTACCTGATATAGCTGTCAAACAGGTTGATCCATTGCTTGACATTTGTATCACTCTAGCTTCTGTAACTAAAGTGACTTCCTGATTAGACTCTTCTACAGCTTGTGGTCGGGACAACTTATCTGTTATAGTTTTGCAAAAGTGTTCTCTGGAGCTTCCATTTATACTTTTAAAACTACTTATCAAGTGCTTATCAGAGTCTTGTTTTCCAGCCTGCTGGAAAGCGTCATTTTATTCCTATTTTCAAATCTGGAGAGCAACCTTATTTGTCTAACTACCGTCCCATTAGTCTTCTTCCTATTACAAGCAAGGTTTTTGAATCTTTAAGTAACAAACACTTTATCTCTCATCTTGAGTCTAATAACTTACTTTCTGATCATCAATATAGATTTCAATCATCTCATTCTACAGCCGATTTTTTAACAGTAATAACCAATAGGTTTTATCTTCCATTAGATGAAGTGCAGAGATTGAGGCTATCACTCTTGACATTTCTAAAACTTTTGATAAAGTTTGGCATGCTGGTCTTCTCCATAAGTTTTCTTCTTACGGTGTATCTGGTAACATCTTTAAGATTATTGAGTCCTTCTTTTCCAATCATAGTATAAAAAATGTCCTTTATCTTCTAGGATTAACTCTTACTTCCGATCTTTCTTGGAAACCATATATTAAATACATTGAAAAATTAGCATCTGCTAAGGTAAAGCATCAAGCTCAACACTTTCTTACTCCGGATTTTATTCTTTATCTCTATAAATCTCAAATCTGTCTTTGTATGGAATACTGTTATATATACTCTTTGATAAATCAAGTGACATATTTTCACTAAAACTAATGTAAAGTCTGTATAGTCATGTTGGTCTAATCACTAATCACCAAAATCAATTTTTATGGAAATATGATTGGTATGCTATCATAGGCACTATCCCATCAGAGACATCTTTTCCTATGTATTTAAATTTATATTGACTGAGGGTTTGGTGTGGGCCAGCAATCATTTTTTTTCATAATTCTTTTTTTTTCTTTTTTTTTTTGAAATATTAAATAGCACATTTTAAGAATTAAAGTGCACAAAATATATAAGGTTGTTGTGTACTTAGATATGGGCATATTTATTTTACTTGGTGTTTGAGAAAAAAATTATATAACTAAAAAATTCTTGAAAACATTTTGAAAGTAATTAATATTTTTAATGCTGAATAACTCTTCAAACCCTCATCAAAATATGTAAATACATGTTTTGAGTTCTTCACTTAGATTAAAATTGTGGGACTTACAATAAGCATCAACATAAATTAACATCAACGCCAATCCTTAAGGATTCTTTATAATAAGAATTTTAAGTATAATTTAAACAGACATAGTTGCAAAACTTTGACGCATAAGAGAAAAGCACATTAATTTAATATCATAAATTTTACTTAACTCAGCTTTGTTTTTATATTTTTAAAACTCACACCTTAAAAAGTTAAATATAATTTCAAAATCATTTTTTAAAAACTTTTAAGTTACATTTAACACAATATAATTATAATTAAAAAAATAGATAATAAAAAATAATATATATATATATGTATATATATATATATATATATATATATATATATATATATATATATATATATATATATGTATATAAATAAATAAATAAAAACTTACAGAAACTGCTAGTGCAATACTTGATATTTTGACTCCGCTTTCATATGGTTGTGTAAACCCATGTTGCTTGATAAGAAACTCCATAAACTCGGATAATGAAAATACGACATTTTCTCTTTCTCTTGGCTGTTTCTTAGATTTTAACCCAGTTCTAGAGTTTTCTGAGAGTTCTTCATCTGTACATTGCTTTTTTTTGTAATCAATATGCATTTTCCATATAAGTCGAAAAATATCAGATGTTGTTATATGAGGAATGTCATTTTGATTTGGTGGGAATTTGAAGTTATCATGAATCAATAGTTGTTTCTGCAGCGGACCAAGTTTGAGATCCAAAAAAGAACTTTTTGACTCCATTTTGCAAATCTCTTGATTAAGTTCAAACAATGTACAAATGTTTCGAAAAGTCATAAAAGATTGGATGAAAGCATTTATCTAAATGTTTTAAAAATTAAACTTTTTAAAGTTATTAAAGTTTTAATTTAGATATGCATCAAATTGGAAATAGCAACAATTTCTACAATGCTATTATGTAGTACAGTTTATAACCAAGCCTTTTTATAGTTTTCTTTAACTATAATGTCAGGTAAGTTAGTTGTAAGATTTTTTTTTTATATTATTGCATTTTTTTTTGCAAATAACTTTTTATTTTTAACTTTTAGGAACTAAATGCTGCTACTTATTTGTGCTTGACATGGAGCTGACAGCATCCATTTTTAAGCACTTTTTTTATAAGAAAACATAAGAAATTTATATACAGAAATGTAAATATGTAACTTATATAAATTTAAAATTATGTAAATGTAAACATTCCTTTTATATAACACTGTATAAAAATGTCTGTAAGCCTAGTTGAGTATCTGAATAGTTTATGTAAAGATTGTGTATGTATATGTATATATAAAAAAAAAATTTTATTAATGGTGTTGAAGATTTTCAAGAGTTTACGTAATTTATGTTATGTTTTTGAATAATTTATGTAAAGATTGTGTATGTAATGTGTATATAAAAAAAAAATTTTAATTTTTAATGTCTTTTTTGCTTAAACTATATTGTTTTTGTATTTAAAAAATTGGCATGATTGAGAAAAAAAATTTCCCCCAGGCAAAGAAATTGAACATAAATATTGAAGTTCTAGATATTGATAGTTCAATGAAACAATGTAATGAAAGATGCTTTACAAAAAGTCTGATTTACAGCTAGTACTAGTTAGGTCTGTTCTGGATGCAGTACACTGTAAAATCATCCCATGTCACAATCATGTTCAAAAATGGCTGAGCTTGCTGCAGAAATATCTTTAATAGCACGCTCAACTGCTTGAGAGTGACAAGGTATACCAAAAATGAAACCAAACAAACGGTGTTGAAGATTTTCATTCTCAATAGCTAGTACCTATGGTGGTTGTGTGGTCAACTGTAGTCCAGTCAATCATATCAATGTAAGTCAAAGGATCGGCTCACTAAGTATGTTCATGCTCTTGGTTTATCTTGTATTCACAAATGGTATTACCAATTACAGGCTCTTTATTTCAGTTCCATGGTGCTATCCACTTTTTTCCGTTGAACTTTGCTGTGAAGTCCTGATGTTTTATTTTGTTTCTTTCTCTTTGTTTTTCTTTGTATTCCTTGTTGTATTTTCGACATCAATTTTTTTCAGTTTACTTTGTTTTCGTTCTTTCTTGTTGTAGTATTTTATTTTGTTTATCTCGTTATCTTTATTTCTTGTCGTATCAATAACTCCAAATTTTAATTCATTTCTTTGGTTTTTGCTTTTTCTCGTCGTAGTAATAGCATTACATTTTGCTGTTTCACATGCTAACATTCGGACAGTACAATTTTTATTCCCATAAATGATAACTCCTCCAAATTTTTCAATTGCATTCATTTTAAAAATCAATTCAAATCCGAATGGTTTTTGTTTTACCAGACCAGAGAAATAACCATCCTGTGTATTCCATCAATTTTGAATTTGATTACAATTTCACCCAGCACTTGCGCAGTTCCTCCTAAAGTTATGATAATTTTTTGATTTTTTTAAACAAGACCATGTGTAGTTTCAGCATGAACCATAGTGATGGAGCATTCAGAATCAATTAATGGTGTTCGGAGCATTCTGTTTATTTTCACTTGTAATGATGGCAACGTCATATCTGGGGGAATACTGGATGCTATTACTTTCATATTCTTCCATTTCCTTTTAGATTTTTAAAACTTGCAATCGTTTAAAACAGTCTTTAGCTTGATGATCGTGTGAACAAGTCTTGCATTTTGCTTTGCAGTCCTGTGCAAAATGTTCACAATTGAAATATTTTGTTTGTGTCGAACACACCAGATGTTTGCGGAAATAACGATGTTACCGCAATCATTACATCATCGGAACCATCTTTTTTTTTTTATTACACTTCACCTCCTCAAGGCTAAGAAGGCCACTACAGACAAGGAGGCTACTTATTTTGTGGCTATAACCCTCTCTCTTAACTCTATAACTCCGAAACACAAACATTGACGAACAAGGCCGCTGCGCGGAGAAACGAGTTGAGCGCGGTACTACCAGGGACGTGGTGGGGATCGAACTCGGAACCACTCGTTTATGAAGCGAGCGCTCTACCACTACACCACTACCGCATCTAATTGTCGTCTAAGTTTCCTGGGTTACTCATTCAAGGGTAACAGCAATTTCCAGAGCCTTTGCAAATGTTAGTTCTTCAGATTCCAGTAATAACCGTTTGATTGTAGCACCATCGTTAAAACCTGTGATGAATTGGTCGCGCATTCGATTATCTCTATCCATAAATTTGCATCCTTCGTTACTTGCTTTTTTTATAGCTGCAAATTCAAAGCATAGTATTAATGATGACTTTGGTTTAAAAAGCTTTATGATGTTTTTCTCGATGTCTATGTAGGTAACTGAGTCATCTTCTGGGTATGCAGGCAAGCATAGATCTTTCAGTGCAGAATAAATTTGTGGTGGCAAACATGTTAATATTACTGTTTTTCTTTCAGATTTGGGTACGCCCATCACAGTTATATATGTTTGTAGTTGGCGGACGAACAGCTGATGGTTCCCATCAAGTACTGGTGGCATAATATACTCTTTTAACAATTCTAATAGCTGTTGTTTTTCATAATTTAAAAAACATCTGTAATCTTTTTTTTTTAGGATATGGGTGGTAAATGATTAACTGGTAGTATATTAACAAACTTTTTTTGATCACTTTTCCAAATATTAGGAAATTTTAAAAACAATATATATTACTGTGTTTTTAAAACATTGATAATTTGGGTACGCATTTTTTTTTTTTTGACTAACAGGTATTTTTAAACTATTATATACCAATATACCAACTTTATCTCATTTGACTTAAAATATCGACTTTTAAATTATTTAAACTTTGAAAGCAGCAACCTTGATTACTTTTTTAGAAGACGTAAACAAACTTAAACCAATCATTTTTTTCTTATAAAAAACAACTAATCAAATTGTTATTCTTGACAAAAGAATCTTTTGCATAAGATAGTTTTTAAAAAATATAAAAAAAAGAATACTTAAAATAAATTCTTATCACAAATGGGGAAAAGAAAGATCACTAAAACAAAAAAGTCAAACTACAATGTTAATTTAAACCCACGACGACTGCTTTACCTTCTCCGAAGTCCGATTTCTGTTTTTCCTCAACATCAACTTTCAATAAATGGAACAGTTCTACAATATCATCAGTATATTATTACAGAAAAAAGTGAAAGATTCAAGTCTACTCAAGAAAATTTTTCATGCAAAAAAATAAGCAGGAGTAGGGATATGGTTTACCTTGACAAAGAATTCTGTTATGAAAATATGGAGATATGCTGCCTAAGAAAAATTGTTAATATATGGAAATATGCTGGCTTTGGAAACTATATAACTTCTTAAGTACAAATTGTGCAAAAGTTTATTAAACTAAATAAATTTTACATTTCAATGCAAAATACAAGTTATTTAGCCTGGAACACAGTAACCAAAAAAAAAACACGAAAATCAGTTTTAAGAATTTCTTGAAAATTTGTTTGATATTTCTCAAAAAAACATAGAAGCAAAAATAAAATCAGATAAAGATATTCCAAGATTGATTGATGCAGTGATAGAAGATTTGGCTTTTCTTCAAGATCAAAGAACATTGAGGAGAGGTGTGATGAGTGAAAAGTATGACATTGATTTGAAACAAAGGGTTGAAAGGAAAACTAAAAGGTATGAAAGAATGAGATCTTATGAAGAAAAATGAAGAGCTAATGAAGAGCTAATGAAATTTTAAATTTGATTGCAAAATTGATTTAGATATGGAAGAAGTGATCTCTCATGAATCAAATGAAATCGATGCATCAGGTAAATTATATCCTAACCTTTTATTCCAAAATATTTTTATAAAAAAAAAAGATAAAACTTTTATTCACTTTATTAAGTCATTAACGCTTTTTGTTACTTAGGTTCTGCGACTCACCAGTCTTCAGTTTTTTGTTTTTTTTGTTATTCACCTCCTCAAGGGCAAGAAGGCCACTACAGACGAGGAGGCTACTTAATAGTGGTTATAACCCTCTCTCAACTCTATAACTCCGAAACACGAACCTTGATGAACAAGGCCACTGCGCGGAGAAACAAGTTGAGTGCGTTACTACCAGGGACATGGTGGGGATCGAACTCGGAACCTCTTGCTTATGAAGCAAGTGTTTTACCACTACACCACTACCGCAATTGCTAGTGATAGTGATTTTGATTTTCCAGAAAGCAATAAAAATTAGCTTCCAACACACACAAAGTTATAGCGTCAAAAAACATTTAAGTCTGGTTGTTCAGAAATAGCAATAGAGTTCGATAGAGAAAAGCTTCTATTAGATTTCGCATCTAACACTAACAGCACCTGTTAGTATTAGATGCCGAATTAGCATTCGCTCACAAACAATGTTTCTAGGAGCTGTTATTAAAGCTTTAGGGGAAAGTCAGCTTCCAACACACACAAAGTTAAAGCATCAAAAAACAACTAAGTCTGGCTGTTCAGAAATAGCAATAGAGTTCGACAGAGACAAGTTTCTATTAGCTACAACACCTGTTAGTGTTAGATGCGGAATTAGCATTCGCTTACAATTAATATTTTTAGGAGCTGTTAAAGTTTTAGTTATTAAAGTTTTAGGGGAAAGTTCATGATTTAAATATATCTAGAAGCTCAATAGCTAGAAGTAGATTCAAGTATATTGAAGATTTAGGTAAATTTTTTTTACATTCAAAATACTTATAATAAAATAAAAAATAATGATTATAAAAAGAAAAAAAATCTTTTTAATCTAGGAGCCACCATCAGATCAAGCCATTATGAAGAAATGTTGGGAAAGATTATGATCTTGCACTTTGACAGTAAGTTGGTAAAAGAAATATAGGAAAAGTTAAAAAATACAGTTAAAAAGGAAAGGGTTACAGTATCTGTTACCAGTCCTGAACTTAATACAAAAGATGATTGTCTACTTGGAATTATAGCTGTGGAGAGCAATAAAGGAAAAGATCACACTATTGTTATTCAAAACATTTTAGAGTATTTTGAAATAGCTGATAATATAATTGGAGTCTGTACTGATACTAAATCAAGTAATACAGGTAGACTAAATGGAGCTATAATAATTATTAGTAGAATTCTTAACAAGTATTTGTTTTGGTTTATGTGTTGTCACCACATATATGAACTCCATATAACTCATGCAGTACAGGCTATCACAAAAGTTAAATCTAAGGGTCCAAGCAAGTTTATGTACTTAGCTTTCCAAAGACACTGGGAAACTGAAAATAAAAATGAAATTGAAACATGTGCCTTTATTGTTGCTGTTTGTCATGCTCCATGGTACCTCAAGTCTAGAAGCGCTCAACATGTTGTACTTAATGATTTTAATGCATTTAAAGCAGCATGTTATCAAGGATGAATTTAATGCCAATGTTGGCAATGCTTTGACTAAAGGTTTTCATAAACATTCGTGGTATCTTTCTCCAGCAGTAGTTGTTTTTTTCACTAGTTGACTCTCACTTGGAAATGTTTGTCAAGTACGAGATTTTGAAGTCATTAATTTCCTTTCCAGTTCTAGAGCTAGAAAAAATAAATATGAAAAAACCTAATCCTGTTTTAATCTTAAAAAACAGCAAGCTTTCAGACCTTGTTACTGCTGATAGCTGGCTTATATATATTCGCATAGGAATTGTAAATCAAGTCAAAGATTGGATTCATTCTCATCCCAACTTCTCAAAAACTGAATCATATAGTGTTTTTGAAAATTTTGTCAAAGGACTTAGTGTAACTAATAACTGCGCTGAAAGAAACATCGGATTAATAAATGATTTTTTTAAATATTCTCAAAAAGAAGAACAGCCTCAAAATATATTATAGATAGCAAGAGAGGAGAGAAAAAAAGTAACAAAGAAAGTAACTCAAACTTATAAAAATTTAACGAACTTATGAAGATTGAAAGCTTTCTATATGATATTAGATATTAGATATATCTAATTATATTCTATATAATTAGATATATTTGTGAATTAATAGAATTATACTATCAGTTTATGATAATAATGAGATATAATTATGAATAAAAGAATTATACTGTCAGTTATTTAATTTTGATCTTTTCTAGCTAAAAAACAAAGATTTAGGAATTTTATAGTAAGCAATTTTTTACTATGTATTTATCTTCTACCTTTATATAGACAAGGAATTTTGGGTGTACAAGGGAAGTTTAGAAAAAAAAAGGTTTTTCTATACATTTTTGGGACACCCTAATATACATAACATATAAAAAAGTAATTATACACTACAAAAAACAAAAGGGGGAAAGTTTTTAAAATTATCAATATGCTTAAGTAATTAGTTAAGTCTGCACCTTTAACACACATTAAAAGAAACTTAGTAAAGAAAAAAACTATTAAGTATGTACCTGTTTTTTTTTTATAGGAGTTTTGTAATTTTACAATAAGAAGTTGTAAAGTTAACCTTAATCATTAACTCAAAACAAAGATTTGACAAATTTTTATTTTCTACTACTTGCTAAAAATTATTGAAATAAAACAATTATATAAAGAATAAGTATAGAAATGTTCGGTGTGGAATAGACTCACCATGACCCGTATAATACTGGGTCATGATAAGTTCATCATTCCACATATTTTTAATCATAACTTTAAAAGGTAGGCAATATGTATAGTTTTTCTACCGCTAACTAAAAAATATTGAAGTCAGGAATAAGTATAGATAAGAATAGAATAGACCTAGAATTTTGTAGGCTAATATATATATATATATATATATATATATATATATATATATATATATATACAGGGGCTATTCCAGACCCTTTTCGACAGCGTCAACCGTATTTAGGCGGCGATTTTGGCGCTGCCTAAATTAAAATTTGAGGACCTTTTATTTTATACGTTTTTTATGGCAAATATTGTTATTTTGGCGAAAAAACCGCCAATTTTCCGCTAAAGTTTGTCAGAATGAGGGGGAACCGCTGCCTAAATTTTTTTCTTAGAATAGGCCCTGATATATATATATATATATAATATATATATATATATATATATATATATATATATATATATATATATATAAACTGAATTTTTTTTTAGTTTCAATATGTTTTTTTGCTGATAACAAATAAAAATTTATAAACAGGTGGGTCTCAATATGTTCAGGGTGGTTGGGGAAAAATAACCGAAAATTAATAAACACCCTCCCCCACCCACCCTCTTGTCTATTGAGTACCTATGAGTGAGCAAAAGAAAATATTATCTTATTTATTTAGTCATTTTGCTTAAATTAAATAATCGCTATATTTATTATTTGAATTTTTAAAGAAATATTAACATTTCTAGTTATTATTTTAACCTCATTTTATTAATAAGATTCAATTTATTCATAAAAATTCATTAAAATTTAATTTCTATTTTTTTTTTTTCATTAAAATTATTTCTTTTTTTTTTTTTTTTTTTTTTACTTTAAAGTCAAAAAACAAAAAAATGTGATCTCTAACTAATTTATTTCACCAATCTAAAATATTTGGTATTTTTTATCATGCTGTATTTTTGCTTATTCAATAATAATTTTTTTATATTGTAAACCAAAAATTGTTAAGGTCTCAAAATTATTTTTATTCCAATAATCAAAAACATTTAGTTACTAACTTAATAATTTTAATCGTGTTTTTTAACGTGTTTAAATATTTATTTTAGTTTGCAAGTTTATCCAATCAAATCTGATAGGCCAGAATTGATATAAAGAGATCAAAACATTATTTTTTCTAAAAGTAGACAATAATTGATTGTTGATCAGTGGTTATTTTCAGTACTGATTTTATATTAAGTGATATATTTAATTTCCTTTGATAAAAAAAAAATAATTACAAAAGTCCAAAAATTAATTTTACCTTTCCTTGTAATCTAATAATATCATTTATAGCAGTAATATCAGTTTCTTGTCTTATTTTTTTGCTTTCAAATGGACATAAATCTGCAACACAGGAAACATTATAAAAAACACAAAGTTCTTTTACAATTTCAGGAACTTTGACAACTTCATTTCTTCTGCAAATCTTATTTCGAATTTGTGAGACCTTTTGATTGATTTCATCTAAAGTTGGTCTTTCTCTACCAGACAAAACTCTGGAATGTGGTACACCAAAAGAGAGCATAGAATGGAAGCAACCATTCCTATCACCAACTCGATAAACATCTACATCTCTTGTAACATTTCCTAGCAAATTCAATTCTGTTAGCATTGGATAATTATAAGGAAGATCCAGTTTTTCAAGTAAGCCTATCAACTCATTCATTAAGGTTATATATAGAAAACTAACATCCTTGGTTTTTATAACTTCAACAGTTAATGTACTAGCTTTTTTAGATAAATTTAAAAAATCACCACAAAATTGTTGAATAAAGAGCTCTGAGAGCTGTATATTAGAATTTGCTTTTAAAACAAAATACTTTAAAACATTATCCTTAAAAAAATTTTCTCCAAACATTTCTTTAAAAAATAATTTTAACTCTTCAACTTTTAATTTTTTTTTTTTGTGAAAGTAAAATAAAGCAGCAATACGCACTTTACAGTAGGCTATATGTACTTTTTGAAAATTGTTACACAGCCTAGAAGAGTCAGAATCAAGAAGTGTATTTGTACTCTGTTCAGTAGATTCACATTTGCTAAGATCCATTTCAGAAGATTTATTTTTACTCATATCTTGTTCTGAAGACATATTAATTTGTTTATTCTTTTCAATCGAATTATTACCATTTGATAAACTGATAGACTTAGTGGAAGATACAGCAGAAGTTTCACAATTGGCAGATACTACACAACTAGAAGTTGTACAAGATTTTGAGGAAGAAGTTGTTAAAGTTTCAAATTTACAAGTAGAAGTTAAACAATTGTTTGATACAGATGTAACATACATTAAATTTGCTTCAGAAATACTGCCTAAAGTTGCAGAAGTCACAGTGCTAGATGTACTTAACGGTGGAAAATCGATTTTTGAAAACATTTCAGTTTTTTTGACCGTATATCCAACAGACTTATTTGCATCTTTAAATAACTCTAATCTTTGCCTTTCCAATAAAACTTCCATTAAACTTGACATGTCATTTTTTTCACAACTTTGTATGTTAGAAGTTATGGTTGAATTATTGACAGAAGTTAAACATGTCACAGAATTATGGAAATCTAATGGTTCTAAAACTGAATCTGATGTCATTTTCTTTTTTGACAAACTGTTGGATATATGAACCTCATTTCCAATAATATTTGCATCATTACCCAATATGTTTATAACAAGCTTTTGAAAAGATTGCTTCTCATTTGTATTTGCAATTTTTTTCCATGAATCATTTAGTGATTCGCGCCATCTGATACTATATTCATTGTTAATCATTGAGAACTTTAAATTATACCCATTTTCTTCAAAGATCTGCAAAAGACGTTTTTTTAAGTCTAAAATAGTTATTACACTGCAACGCTTATTGCCATTATTATTATGCTTGCTTGTGTTTTTTTCAGAAGTTTCATCTGGTTTAATTGAATTACTTTTAACATTATCATTTTCCATACTTTTTATGCTAATATTGGATGGTGAAAAAGTGTCAGGTTTACTTGCAGAAGAAAAATTATCATTAAATGATTTTGCAGATTTTTCTGAAGAAATCATACAGGTGTTAGAATTACTAATGTTAGTCAAAGAAGAAACAGAGTTAGAAAAACTCAACAATTCCGAAACAGTCTCTGACTTTATTATCTTTTTAAATAAACTGTTGGATATATGAACCTCATTTCCAACTATTTTTGCTTCACTACCCAATATACTTATAACAAGGTTTTGAAAATTTTGCTTTTCTTTTGTATTCGTAAGTTTTCTCCATGAATCAGCTAATGATTCATGCCATCTGAATATATATTCATCATTAATTATTGAGAACTTTAATTTACATCCATATTCTTCGAAGATCTCTAAAAGACGCTTTTTTATATCTCCAATAGTTATTATACTGCAACGTCTATTGCCATTATTATAATTGCTTGTGTTTTTTACAAAAGTTTCATCTGGTTTAATTGAATTACTTTGAACATTATCATTTTCAACACTTTTTATGCTAATATTGGATGGTGAAAAAGTATCAGGTTTACTTGCAGAAGAAAAATTATCTTTTAATGTTTTGGCAGATTTTTCTGAAGAAATCATACAATTGTTAGAATTACTGTTAGTCAAAGAAGTAGCAGAGTTAGTAAAATTTAATGATTCTAATACAGATTCTGATGTTTTTCTCATTTTTGATAAATTCTTGGATATATGAACCATATTCCCAATAATCTTTGCATCGTTACCCAATATAGTAACAACAAGCTTTTGAAAATTCTGCTTTTCTTTTGTATTTGTAATTTTTTTCCAAGTATCGTTTAGTGATTCATGCCATTTTAAATTATATTCATCGTTAATTGTTGAGAACTTTAAACTACATCCATTTTTATCAAAGATCTTCAGAAGACGCTTTTTCAAGTCTTCAACAGTTTTCATCATACAGTATTTAAATCCAAATAACTAAAATCCAATTATTACGAATTTTTTTAAAATGTATATTTTAGAACTTTAATTGATATTTAAAATAATTCACATTATTTTATTTAAACTAAAAAACGCATTAAAACCGGGTAGTAGTTTTATTTAAAATAATTAAATTACCTTCTTTACTTTTGTATTGCTTTTTATTATAAATTTTTTTTTTGTCTGTTTATCTTTTTAAATGAAATTGAATCCAAATCAAATACATTCAAAAATATAATTAAGAATCATAAACTTTAATTATATCACAACCATTTTTTGAATTAACGTTTCAAGATTCTGGGAAAATAATGCCACATTTTCCCAGAACAACTGTTACAACGTTATTTCCGAGAAGCAAATTCCTGAATAGTTCCGGTTTAGGGATCGTTCATAAATTACGTCACGCATTTTTTGACATATTTTGACCTTCTCCCCTCCCCCTCGTCACATTAAAGATGAGTCGTTACTAAACTACCAACCCCTCTCCCCTAATAGCGTGACGTAATTTATGGACGACCCCTTACCCAAGTATATAAATTCAAGTGTATGTACCGGGTGTTAATTCAAGTGTATGTACCGGGTGTACGTACCGGGTGCATACAGCAATGTACCGGTGAAGTATGAGATTTTTGCTCCCGCGTATTTTTTTTACTCATTGTAAAATTCCAGGGCCGCTGATAGCTATCACGCCGCCTGGGACAGCAATCCTGATTGGCGCCCTTATTTATCAAATTTTCCTAATATTATATAAGAAGGACCTTTTTTTTTTCTTTTTTTTTTTAGGTATCTACATTACATTTGGCGCTCATTGGATATCAAACTGTCCCTCGCGACCCTACCTCTCGGCGGTACTGTAAAATTCTCATACTAAATTTTTACTCAGTAAAGATCTCATGTTAAATTTTTACTTCCTATTATGAGATTTCCCATAAAATGTTTTGCAGCAAAATGTGTTTGGCGGCAGAATGTGTTTGGTTGCATTTTGAAAGTTTTTTTTGAAAATTTAAAAAATTTTTTTAAATCAATAAAGAAGCGATTTCGTTTTATATGAACATTATTTAAAAAAATTATGTAGAACTGATCGATTGACAAAATCACTTATCAATAAACAAAATGAACGCTTTTAACCTTTGTTTGAAACTTCACACAACTATTACAGTTAAATTCCGGTAAGTTGAACTAGCATAAATTATTAAATTGGTAACTACTACTAAATCTAAAAATATAAAACAAATATTATGGATTACATAAATCACACAAAGAATATCCTCAAACTATTTGGTATTATTTTTGATGAGCTGGCTTATTAGCAATATGCCAATGTAGAGCAAAGTTAAATATGCTATATGTATCAGCAGCTTTTCAAATTCTAAGTACCTCCAAAATAACAATATCTTTTTTAATAACCGATACAGATTTAAAAAAGCCCATTCTATTTAATATGCAATAATAAAGTTAGTTAACGAAATTTTGAATGGGTTTGACAAAAATTAATATACGCTTGGAGTATTTATCGATTTGTCAAAGATTACGAAATTTTTCTATACAAACTTAGCAATTATAGTATAAAAAATAAAAATCTAAAATGGTTTAGATGCTATCTAAACAATCGGAAACAAGCTTTATATTACAATAAAACTTACACTTTCCTTGAAATCATTACTTGCGGCGTTCGCTAGGGATCTATTCTAGGTCCTTTGCTTTTTCTTGTCTATATTAACGACATATTTTTATCTTCTCGTTTACTAAATTTTATCCTTTTTGCTGATGACATCCAAGCTTTCAACATCCACTCAAATATTAAAACTATTTTTAACACAGTGAATCAGGAACTTGAAGAGCTAAGCGATTGGTTGAAAGCCAACAAACTTTCCTTAAATATTGAAAAAAGCAAATACATTCTTTTCACAAAACCATCAAAGTCATAGACGTTACCATTAAAACTCCCAGATATTTTAGTTGACAAAACAAAATTAAAGCTTTTTCTGTGAAGCTTTTAAGAATCATTCTAGATAAACATATTAACTGGAAAGAGCATATCAAGTTGTTAGAAAATAAAATATCTAAAAGCATTGGGATTATGCATAAAACTAAGTATATTTTAAATAACCCGACAAGAAATTTTTATATGGGCCATGTATGGCATTTGCATGCTAACCATATGCTTACCACTCTTGTTTTTGGGATGGCGTTGATGCGTCCCATATGCGGCTGTAATGTTTATCCCACAAAAACCATACTAAATAAGAATGAACGCCACGCTTCATTTGTGCGTGAAAGTTTCATGTGGCCCACGTGCGGGAAGCACATATTAGCCATATATTTACCACTCTCATTTATGAGATGGCGTTGGTGCGTTTCATGCGTGGCAATAATGTTTATCCCACTAAAAACACATAAAATAAGAGCAAACGCCACACTTCGATTGCATTTATTTTTTCAGTGTATGATCTGTTAAACTATTATATTTTATCAGTTTGCCCTATACGTAACCAAGGAAATACACTGTAAAATACAAAACTATTATAAGGAATATAACAAAAACAAACATACTAAATTTACAAATATATTAAATCGCAATATATATTGAAGTTTATTCTCCTCAGGCATTTGCCGTGCAGAGTTTTAATAAAGAATACAGTAATTATATTTACAAGGTGGTCTACTGTTCCACTACTAGGTAAAAAAAAGACATAATTTCTAGAGACTACATGAGAAAGAAAAAAAACGAAGAAAAAAACGAAAAAGTAAAAAAAGAATTCGAAAAAAATAATCTGGGCGTTTCAGTTTAAAAAAAGATTGTTGTTCATTTTTATATTCATTTTATTTTCGTTGCTCCAGATTTTAAAATATAACGTTGTTTAAGTATAACTATAAATTTGTATTCGTTAAGTATAACTCTGATTTACAAACCTTATGGAAAGTTTGTTTAGAACAACAATTCTCTAATATATTCATTACAAAACCGCTCAAACATTTTTATTTTTATTTATTTTTTTATTACAAAATTATAAACATTTACAGTTTTTTATAAATTTTATAATATATATTGTATACTTATATATAAGCCTGGGAGGGTAAGGTGATAATAATAATAATTATTATTATTATTATAATAATATATATTGTATACTTTTATATAAGACGGGGGGGGGGGGGAGCAAAGGAAAAAAGCTAATAGACCTTTGCGCAAACTTTGAGTTTGCCGAACAACTTTACGGAGTATACTTTTTCGAGCAAACGGAAAAAAAAATAATAATAAAACAGGTGGCCAAATATACTATAAAATATAATAAACGGTATAACATTACCTGATTTTCAACCTCCGCAAATTATTTAAATGGCGTATAACAGCAATGTGTTTTTCTTTAATTATTAAAAACTATAATTTTGTTGACTTCATAAAAAATTATATAAACGTACAATATAATAATTCTCTATTTAAAGTACAAATATATCAGTGTTTATAAATAATAATCTTGAATTGTTATTATTAACGTCTTAACTCACCCCCGTTTTTACGGAAATCTTGGAAAATTTTAATTGCGTTTTGTTTTTCTACGTTAATGGGGAGACCAAGGCCTTCTTAAACAGGCCGTGACAGCTCATTTTCCGTAAAATTAGCGAAGGCCGACTTTTTTACGGTTAAAATTATTTTTTATCTTTGCTTTTGTAAACAAACTTCAGAAACAAATAAAGAGCTTTAGGACAAAACATTTTAATTGAATTTCGAAAGCAAATGTTGTTGGAATTTTTTTTACGTTTAGAAATAAGTTATTACAATAAAAATTTAAGGAGTTTAGCTAAAAATGACTAAATCTCGTTTTTATAACTATATGTTTATTTTAGCTGTTTAACACTTGTAATCCAAATAATAAATTTTTTGATAAAAACAAACAAATATATTAACTTTATTTTATTGAAATTATTTTGACTTTTTTGACTCAAAGTATTTTATTTTGAAGTTGAAAGTTTTGCTTGTTTTATTAAACATTCCTTTCCAAAATCTTCAGAATATTTTTTACAATAATTGTTTAAAAAAATGTTTGCCAAAATGCAGCAAACTTTTTTAACACTTTGAACAAGCAATTGAAATTTACTATTGCAGTTAATAAAAATGTCAATTAATCCTTTCTTGCACAGCAATGGTGAAACTTTATTCACAAGTGTCACTTCAAATATAAAAAAACAATAAAAAATAAAGTAGACTAAATTGTCAGAAGGTTCTCTTAGTCTTCCCCTGTTCAAAGAACTGATCAAAGTTCCATATTTTTGAAACATATCAAAGGTGTCTGTTTCTTCTAAAATTGAATGTAATTCTGGAAGTTTGTAAGCAATAAAACCTGCAATATATAAAAGCCCTTGTTTGCATTCATTTAGCAACTGATCCTCACAATTTTCACATATTGACATATTAAACTCCACATCAAGTTCACACTTATCACAGTGGTGGTGAGCAGGAGGAAATATTGTAAAATCTGTATGCTTGTCTAGCAACTTTCTAGTTTTGTTAATTCTAAATTTTTGAATAACATTTTGCACAGTTATCAGATATGTGCCACCTGACCCTTGCCGATATTTCCCAAACTGTTTTTCTAGTGCATCTGATTGCATATGTCCTAACAATACATAAGATACACCGCAATTCAACAAATACTTGGCACAGCTTGCTAATCTTTTAGAAGTTTTTTGCAAAGCACTTGCAGTATCCATTGTTAACTTTTTCTCTCTTAATTTTGAATTTACGCATTTCAAATTTTCAGCAAAATACGAAATATAGTTCTCTAAGAAATCTATTTGCCAATCATTGACTTTTTTCGAATATCATTTAATCTAATATCTAGACCTTTTGCTTTACTGTTGACAATAAGCCACCACTTAACAACTGTTTCAATAAAAAGTGCAGTATCTTCAGCTTCAGGAAATTTTACACGTAATGCTGCAACTGTTTCATCACAAAAAACTTTAAGAACTAATCCAACATTTTGTCTTTCAATTGGTTTTGGTGACACAGCTTTTTGTGTTAAGGGTGACAACTTAACTATTCGACTATCTGCAGCATGAAGTTGAATTATAAATTTCCATTCTGCAAGTCGCACAGTATCGTTATCATTTAGCAATCTATATTTTAAACATTGTAATTTTTCAGTGATCCAATTATTTCGAATACATTTTAAAATATGCACAGTGTCATTTAAAAGATAGTATGCTGGAACTTTTTTTGCATTAAAATATTGAAATGTTTTTTGGTTTTACCGACAGTTATCCATTATTAACCCAAGAGGCTTTCCACCTGCAATTATGATTTGTTGATTTAATTCTTCTATCACACTTGTT